TTGTATTATACAATATACAAATATTGATACTCTACAATTATCCTGTACTCCACAGTTTAAAATATATACTGTACAAGACAATTTATTGTCACAATTTAAAAGTGGTCGAAATTAAGGAAAATATAAAGCCTGAAACTGCTGTGAATGAATCTACAGAGTACAGAAAAAAATGTATTTACAGCCTAAAAAAGAACAAATAATGGTTGATACTAATGAATCAAAGAAAGCCAAAGCTTTCTGGCATTCATTCGTCTCAAACGACGAGTTACTCTTTCTCCTTTCGATTTTTTGTTTGGACTGGCGGTTTTTCGGTTTTAGCCTCGCAAACATTATTTTCCGCTCCCTCCTGAATCAAAGCCTCGTGGCCTAAGTTTTAAGTAGAGAGTTTAACGACTGCTGGAAATTTCCACGCGTTGAAAGCCTTCCACAATATATTTACTGTAGTGTAAAGTTGTATACTTGTACATATTATAGACCGCAAAACGGGACGCAGTATACATCAAATTAATCATCTCCTTCTTTCGAGATTTAAATGCTTGACTCTACAATTTCAGAATTAGATATAATTCTAAGATTATCATGAACAGCACTAACTTCAGCTAACACCAACCGGGCTTTCACCCGGAAATATAATGTTGATACCCCAGCGCTCCGTCGTGTATGCTTCGAATCCAAACATGGCCGTTCTGCAGGATCTTAATGAAGACGACGACAAATCCAAAACCTTCACGAGTTATATTCGACAGAAACGTGTTCAGCAAAGTGCCCCACCCTCGCTTAAGAGTGCTCCGCCCCATATACGAGGGCGGGTCAGGCTGCAGGATCAATTCAAGTGTGTATTTTTGCAAATAATTTTTGGTACAGGCGGTGGATAAAAAACCCTACTATTTCTATACAAAATTGTATATGCAGGGTGTTCCAGGAAACATGACAGTTNTTGTTTAATACCAAAGAGAATTATAATAATACTTAAGAACATATTATAATAAAATTAATTTCAAAGTAAAATATATATTAGTAAAAGATTTTATTGAACGAAAAAAAATGCAGAAACTCTTTATAATATCTATTACAGTATAAGGAAGAAGACATTCCAAATTATTTACCAGCTGTCATGTTTCGTGGGACACCCTGTATATGCATTGATGTATGAATTTGACACAGTTTTATATCAATTTCTTGAGACAGGAACATCAGATAGAACTTTGATGGGTCGCGATCAAGAGCTAAAGTGACTAGCTTTTAGCGTAAACCCCCTTTAATTTTTCCTTTACAGTCCCTTTAAATAATAGTTTGAAATAATAAACTCAATTTTGAAATAAAATTTATTTTTTAAGTGTGCCATAAACTATGTAGGGAACGGACATCCTGTACATATGTTATCATAGATTAATTAAAATAAAAAATAGGACACTAGATGTCGTTTTTTCAAGATTTGGATGAAACTCGTTCACATAACACTGAGGCCAAAGCCCACAGGCGTTCGGCGCAGTCGGCTTAGAACAGACTTTCATTGTCTTGTAATTCTAAGCCGACTGACCGTAACTCCTCTGTGCTTCTTCCTCATGGTAATTGTGAACGAGTTTCATCAAAATCTTGAAAAGACGACATAATTAATCTATGAAAGTTATATTTTTTACTTTTTTATTATCTTTATTAACTTATAATTCTACATTTTATTCTAGTCCTGGAAGCGCTGGATCATTGAATAAATCTAGAAATGGATCAATTCGATCCGAGGTAATGATATTAGATTAAACTTTCTCTGCACCAGTAACTTTAACTTTAAACAAATTTAATGTTTCTTACCTGTGTGTTTCAAGACGGATATTTTGATATTCATTTATTTGATGAAATTTTTTTTAAAGCTTACATTTAAATATTTGTGATTTTATCACGCAAAAAGGACAAAAATCTGAATAAGTTAGAAAATTACAAAAAAAGACAAAAATCTGAATAAGTTAGGAAATTACAAAAAAAAAGACAAAAATCTGAATAAGTTAGAAAATTACAAAAAAAGACAAAATTCTGAATAAGTTAGGAAATTACAAAAAAAAAGACAAAAATCTGAATAAGTTAGAAAATTACAAAAAAAGACAAAAATATGAATCAGTTAGGAAATTACAAAAAAAATCTAATTTTTTTCCTCAAAATGGGTCAAAGAAAACTTTAGAAAAAAATAAGAATTAAAGACATTATTTAGTATTTTCAGCTATTTTAAAATACACAAAAAAAACTTTAGGAATAAAAACACAACAAAGGCATTTTTACCAGACCGGAATGATCTGATACTTTATTCAAAATATTTAAATTTAAATAGTTTAATTATAAAATTACATAATAATGATTCCCAAAATATTTCAGAATGGGGATGAAGCCATTCATCATTTCCCTGGCGAAGGACAAATATGGGTATTTTAATATTTTGATATTTTTAAAGTTCATTTTAGTCTAGTGCATGTTATTGATTTAGGACACTTTTCAAATATATCTAGGTTGAGGAGTCCAAGGGAAACCAGATGAAACCGTACACATTTAATGTCGTCTTTGAACCTGAGGCTACCCAGGAGGATATTATTGAGCACAGTGGCATAACCAGGTACTTTTTTACAGTAGTATAGCCATTAGCTAGGTAATTTTTACAAAAGTACTTTTTTAAAGTGATGAAACAAGGTATTTTTTATATACACCGTGGTATAACAAAGTAATTTTTTGCACAGTGGAATAACCAGATAATTTTTTACACAGAGTATACAAATTTGCTTTTTAGCACAGTAGTATAAAAATAATTTTTTTACTCAGTGGTATAAGGTACTTTATTACTCTGTGCTATAACAAAGTACTTTATTACACAGTTGTATAACCAGGAACTTTTTACACGGTTGTATAACCAGATACTTTTTTACTCACTAGTTACAAACTGGTATAAACAGGCAATTTTTTACACACTGGAATAACCAGGTATTGTTTTACACAGTGGTTTAACCAGGTTAACAGCTTGATTTAAATCAAAATTTAAATCGAAAGTCGTCTTCATTGTTTTGATATAATCGCCTTCCACTTTATAACCAGTTTTTTTTGCTGAGTGGTACCAGGTTCTTTTACACACTGGTATAACCAGGTTATTTGTACACAGTGGTATAACTATTGGTACTAATTTTCCATGATGGTGTAACCAGGTATTTTAAAACTCAGTGGGACATAATCTATAATAATAATAATCTATTGTTTTTAAAATTTTAATAATTCTTTTGATTATTTTAAGCTTTACGAAAACTTAATATTAAAATGATTTATTTAATAATTGCTAACCTAAGTTTATTGATATTTGATTAGTTGGTTTGTATCGACCAACTAGTCTCTAATATATTATTGATCAATGAATAAGGAATTAGCTAAGCTGCTAAATTTGATTAACTATCTACTGATTAATTTACGTTATATGTTAAATGCCATTAATGGCGAAATGTTTGTGTAAAGATTTTTGAATAATTTATTTGACTGTATCATACTCCAAAAATACTGATTTATTAATTGATTAATTAATTAATTGATGATTGAACTGTGTATGTATAATATTAGATATAGGAATAGATGGATTCTATACGACTGTATTCTTCTTTCAACCGATATATTGATTGATTTTTTAATTCATTGATGGATTGGTTGATTGGTTGATTGTCTTGGTAGATAGATATAGGGTTCTAATCGACTGTATTTTGTACAGATCTATTGAATGATTTATTGATTTGTTGATTAATTGATTATTTGGTTAGGTTAATAGATATGGGAATAGATGGATTCTCTACCACTGTACTCTTCTTTCAACCGATATATTGATTGATTGATTAATTGATTAGGTTAATAGATATGGGATTAGATGGATTCTCTACCACTGTATTCTTCTTTCAACCGATATATTGATTGATTGATTAATTGATTAGGTTAATAGATATGGGAATAGATGGATTCTCTACCACTGTATTTTGCTATGGACAGACTGGGAGTGGGAAAACACACACACTGACCGGACCCCCACATCTAGTAAGTCTTTAGAAATACAAACAGGGTGTCCCACCTCTAGTAAGTTTTTAGAAATACTAACAGGGTGTCCCACATCTAGTAAGTCTTTAGAAATACAAACAGGGTGTCCCACCTCTAGTAAGTTTTTAGAAATACTAACAGGGTGTCCCACCTCTAGTAAGTTTTTAGAAATACTAACAGGGTGTCCCACATCTATTGGAAAACAACCGGCCCCCAATAACCATTAAGGTTTTAGAAATACATACAAAGTGTCCCAAATCGTATTGGATTAAAGAATAAGTTCGTATAAACACACACACTGAACGGACCCCCACGGGCCCATATTCTAGTAAGCTTTAAGAAATACATACAGGGTGTCCCACATAATGTTGGATTAAGTAAAAGCATAGATGACGATGTCAAATATAGAAAAGCGGACATTTTTGGTAAGCTGTAATTAAATTGTAATAAGACCTCTTTATTTCATGCATAGTATGTGGGACACCCTGTAAGGTGATTACAGGATGATTAGGCGATCCACCGCAATTAGAACACGTAATAAAACATAAAAATCAAACGAGTTTTGGACTAATATTTGTTAAGCCTTGCTAGACGAAGTTTGCTTACAAAAAAATTGCAATTTAAAATGTTTTATTCAAAGTATTTACCCTATGTAGCCTGACGCGTACATACTGGTTTACTGCCTGGCTTCCTGGAGGGGGGGGGGTCAATTTGACCCTCCCCCCCCCCTCTTTTTCTTATTTGTGAAACAAATTTATAACATTGATACGTTTTTGGATAGTCCTTGCCCTTGGGCTCTATTCGCAATAAATCCAAATATTTATTGCGAAATCTAGTTAAAAAGCAAAAATGTGAGAAAAAAATTATACATTTTTGATAAGCCCTTGACCCACCGAATTCAAATGTGTAAAAATATTTGCAAAATTTGTAAAACCAAAATGTGTAAAAATGTGCAAATTCTATTTTAAGGTGTCTTTTCAAAAATCTGTGCAAAACTTCTTTGCAAAAATTGTGCGATCTGCTTGCTTTTGTTATAGGCTTTCCACGGAGCTATAAAATGTTGAAATCCAATGACCGGAAGTAGGTCTAATATAGATTTAATCTGGTAAAGGTAAAATAAGGCATTTAGGCAGTATGCCTGAGGACTTAGGCAATTTTAAAATTCCAGCTTTTAGCCTCAAGTAAGTTAGTTAAAAAAGCCAGAAAATTCGAGCTCCATAGCTCAAATATTTTTAAAGTTATCGCTAGAAATTTATGGGGGGGCAAATATACCCCCCCCCCGGCCAGATAGGGTTAACAGGCGACAAAGCTTTCTTCTTTGTTGTTTTCAAAGGTTTGGACGAATTGAGAACCAAGGGGGGGGGGGGTTAAGGGGAATTATTATGAAAACAAAAAATAATTACCGGATAGAATGCCCTACTTTTTAGTTGAACCCTTTTTCCCAATTACAATTCGATATCCTCTCCATTTATAAAAACTTTGTCATTAGTTTGTAAAAAAACACGGCATATCAAACATGTCAACTGTCAAAAAAAAAAAAACAATCTTTTGTAACTTTTTGTTCACGAATTTCGAAATTATTCATTAATATTTTACATTCTTAAAGTCATGGTGCTTACAAAAATTGATTAGATAGGAGAACCTATTTACCAATTCTTTAAAAGAAACTATTTACCATTTCTTTAGAAGAAACTATTTACCATTTCTTTAGGAGAAACTCTTTACCATTTCTTTAGAAGAAACTCTTTACCATTTCTTTAGGAGAAACTATTTACCATTGTTTTTGGAGAAACTATTCACCATTTCTTTAGAAGAAACTATTTACCATTTCTTTAGGAGAAATTATTTACCATTGTTTTTGGAGAAACTATTCACCATTTCTTTAGAAGAAACTATTTACCATTTCTTTAGAAGAAACTATTTACCAATTCTTTAGAAGAAACTATTTACCATTTCTTTAGGAGAAACTATTTACCATTTCTTTAGAAGAAACTATTTACCAATTCTTTAGAAGAAACTATTTACCATTTCTTTAGAAGAAACTATTTACCATTTCTTTAGGAGAAACTATTTACCAATTCTCGCAGGAATCCGGCTAAGGTATAGATAAACCCCTGTAGATGTCCAAAGTTGTAGATAAATCTCTTAGAAATCCCAAAATAAATATCTTGTATAAAAAGCATTCTATATATTTATCCTAAAATGAATAAAATTCCTGTAAAAATCTTCAAAGATAAATCAGTCTACACGGCTACCCACGAAAAATGAGACGATCCCAAGTTTATATGAAGTCTTCTAAGAATGGTCCTTAAATGGATTATTTAATGATTTGGCAAAAAAGAAAGAAGTTTATTTTTATAGCAAGGAATTCTAAATATAAATTCAGTACGGAAATTTCTGAAGTCTCATCCTTTTTGGGTAACACTGTATGTAAATATTTTAATTGTACATTTATTTTGGTAAATGTCCTAATATGTCCTAATATGTCCTAATTTGTCCTAATATATACCTGCAACAGACCCAAGATGTAAATAACCCCTTAAAGGACTGATAGCTTTCATCACACTATAATTCTTCTAATTCTTCCATACTTTACGACTTGTTGACCATTGATATTTCAAACTAGAACCTAATAGCCAAAGTTTTTAATATCAAAGGTTTACACCATCTGGTTGCAAAGACATATAGATTAGAAAATTATAGTTTGTGGAGTATGTTCAGTTACTTTCGTAAAATGTACATTAAACCCTTTAAACGTAGCTTCAATTCAATTTTAGTTTTGATGCTCAAACCTTTAATGAATGTTGCTTTAAAAGCATGGAAAACTGAGCTTAATGCAGAATCATTGAAGTGCTCTTCTGCATCTCATTGATAGAAACAGATATAATTGTTCGAACCATGAATGTTACAAATATGTAGATAAACTTAATCAATAAGTTTGATTCTATTGACTGCGTATATTCTAAAGTGTTTCAAGCAACTATATCTACAGTATTTAATGATCCAACGTTTTTTCATTTTTAAAATATTTAAAAATAATTTTTTTACTGTAATTTTAAACCCATTTTATGCTTATTTTTGTACAAAAATCATAAAGAAGTACCACCTATATTTTTGTAAATAAAACTGCATGCTATCATTCTAAAAATGTATACATAGAAAACTTCTAAAAATTAAATACCTTGGTAAAATATCATAACAATAAAACAAAAAGTGAAGTTTTATTTAGAAATTGTGTCAATTAAGGAAAGGAATGTTGTAGATATAGCTAAGTAATTATATAAATATAGACTAAAAAGGGGGGTATACAATTTCTATGATTAACCATAACCCCCCAAAAAAAAATTAAATGTATAAATATTTTTTATTTAAAATTGTTTCGAGGATCTGAGGACTTATTTTAAGGAATGTTTCTGTCCCTGATTTATTTAAAGTTCAATGAACTTGTATAAATATAAAAATTAAATGCAAACCTGGCCCACAATGTCTGCTGACAGGAAATGAGAAAATAAATGAACTTTAATAAATAACATTAGTCAAGTCAACAATTGAAAAAGGAATTTATTATAAACTTTATTTTTACATCAGTCAATGTACTTTAATAAAAAGCATTAAAGGGAATGCGACGTAATCTAAAGCTATCCCCGTTAAAGCGTTGTATGACCGATTTATTTAAATATTTATCTTAACTATAAATTTTAAGAGATACAGTCGGTTTTCTCTCTTTAAAAATGTTAAATTTTGCAATTTTCTCTCACATGTAAACCTGCCAGTTAGTAGAGAAGCAGAAACTAAAGATTATCAATTTTCAGACAAAAGACCCAAACTGTCTTTGTAATTTTGTTAAGTCCAGGCACCCTTACAAATTGGGATTTAAACACGCGTTGAATAAAGGGCTACTTTAAATTACGTCGATTGTCCCTTTAAATAGACTTATCTTTGCAACCTGATGGTGTAAATCTTCAAACTGAGACTATTTGATCTAAAAAAATTGATTGTTTGAAATATTTAAGGTCTACAACATTTTGTTGCAAAGATATAGGGATTAGATAATCAGAGTTTGTGGAAAATAATCATTTCCTTTAGACCAACTTCTCTCTCGTCTCTGCTTTAGAAATTTTCGATTCGCTGATTTAATTCTAATGCACATGAATTTTACTATAGAAAGGGATCATTCAATTGGCGTACTGTCCAGTTCTACCTTACATAGTTTGTAATTGATACATATGGCATACTTGATAAAAAGACGGCCCGGTACTTAAAATGAACAGTTTACAGTGGATCTTTACAAATGGAAATATATACATTTATCAACTCTTAGATAAAGATTTATTATACTGGTGTGAATTGTTGTTTTACTTATTTTAAAATCTAAAAATAGGTTTAAGGATATCTGTAAAAATAAAATGATAAATGAAGCATGTTTGTAAAATATAAATGTAAATTCTTTTTGTTAAAAAAGTTTTGAACATTTCATGTATATTAAATTTTTGGTATACTTGGAAAAAAATATTTTGTAAACCCTCACTGGGATGTTTCTTCTTTGTTTTTCTTAAAATTTTTATTTTTTCTATTCGTAGCATATTTCTGTGGACAAGAATATGATGAATAAAGACCATGGGTTGGTTTTTAGAAGTTTTATCTATCTTTTTCAACAGCTAGGTAAGAAAAAGCATATATGTGTCGCAAACTATTCTTAAATTTTATGATTTTTACATTTTTAATGCTTTGAATGTAATCAAAGTTTAAAATATCACTATCAGGATGAAATAATATAGGGGTAAGCAAGGAGATGTTGAATAGAAGGAAGGGGCGATAGGGTTTCCGTACACTTTGCTGTGACGTTTTTGGACGTTTTTGCGTAACAACAATAACAAAGGCAGCCGATCTAATGTAAACAAACATGAGGCAGTAAACTGTGAAAGTAGTATTATCTTGTTAAAAAAGATTAAAAAAGTTAAGGATCTTAGTTTTTATACGAAAAGGACCTTATTACAGAGACATTTTCAATCAAATTCAAGGTTATCCAGCCCCGCTCACCTAGATGTCTGTTTATCATTTGTGTTATTGTTTACAATCTTTATTATTGTTGTTACGCAAAAACTAGTTCTCCAGCAGTCCAAAAACGTCACAGCAAAGTGTACGGAAACCCTATCGCCCCCTCCTTCTATTCAATATTTCCTTGGGGGTAAAAATATAACAGGTTGCGGTGAGTTCAAAGTAATAAGTTGTTTTGTAGAAAAATTTCACTTTTATATTATTTTAGAAAGCAGAAAGGACGATGCAACGTTCGTGATAAAAGCGTCATATTTAGAAATATATAATGAAAAGGTAAAAAAATACCGTAAAAATTGACAACAAAAAAACGTTTATTTTCTAACAATGAGTGATCTGGAGTCAGTGACAGCCCCCCCCCCCTCCGTCCTAAAATTGCCCGACTTTATATGAAAATCTGTCTTAGCCGCGGCGCTCGGCCCCCTAATCTGTCCAACCACCGCGCCCTTGCCTGTCCAAGCCGCAGCGCTCGGTTTATAAATTGTCTCAACTTATCCTAACCCTCAAATAATATATGAAATCTTGCAACGTAGCATACAGAACGGCAGTTCTAGGATGGATCCAAAAAACATTGATAGAAATTATTAAATCGAATGAGATCGAAAAGGAGATTTTTTATAATCGAACCTAAAGTATATCTTAGTCGATTAACAATCTAATATTATAAATGTACACTTTTATTCACTTATCAACTTGTAAACTAAAATATGCAATTGCATTCTCACGCAAAAAGCTATTATAATTGAATCTACTACTCTATCAAAATTCTTAATAGAAACAAACATTTTGAAGCTTTGAAATCTTCATACACAGTGCTGCAAAAAGTATAAAGGGTTCTAATGTGAACAACTTTATCTAAAGCTAATAATCTAAGTTGTATAGCTTTCTTACTTGGAGTTCAATATTTACAGTTTTAATATTCTATAATTAAGGCGGTGTCATGAAACACACAATATACATTCCACAATATTATTGATTTAGGACCCTTTGCCTTCAACACTCATTAATATATTAATATATAAAAAATTAGTTTTAAGCAACATATCATATATGTCAATCAGCCTTCACGTAGGAAAGTACAAATGTTTAAAAGTTTTAAGAATAGATAAAATAATGCATTTTTTTAAGCTTGCCTTACATAAAAAGATAAAGAACTATTTGCAATATATGTATATTTGACAAAATCTAAAATTTTATATTTTTAAAAATTCAGGTTTTGGATCTTTTAAATCCTGGTGTAAAGAAATCCAACCTATCTGTCAGGTAACAAACAACATTCAATTCATGCTGAAAGGGATGTCAATGTAACTTTCAAGCGATCTCTCATTTCATGATGGGCGTGGTCAATTCACAACGGTACCCTTTAAAACTCGTCTTCTTATAGCTTGAAAAGTATTTAATTCTTACAATTTCCGAAACTGTTTCTAAAACCTAAATGCGAAAGTCACGTGAAAGAGAAACCAAAATTGAAATTTATCAATTTCCAAAGAGAAGATGATGAATGTTACACGGAATCTTGATCAGGCAATGCCTTTAAAGGTTCTGATCACGTAGAACTAACTACAACAAAGTGTATCCTGTCTGTATCGGAATATTTTCAGTCATACTTGGATCTCTTATTCTTAGTCCGTCAAAACTAGCGTGAGAGACCTTATTATGTGCTTAAATAGCTAGATTAAAAACATTGCCCAGCAAAAAAGCATGAAATGGTAAACCATGAAATTGTTTATTTAATGGGGAAACAGGGTTCTAAATTCGACACTTATTAAACCAGGACCTCTAGTTTATCGTGCCATGTGAATCGGACATGCTGGACCAGATATAATTGACTGACTTGAAATCACAGTTCTTGAAACCTATCTAAGTAAAGGAAATCGCAAGGGGTTTAACGCACTGCCATCTAAGAAAGTCAGGGATCAGGAATGCTTTGCTAAAGGAATTGAGTCTTTGCCACAAACTCTGATTTTCGAATCCCTATATCTTTGGATTCCAGCGTCGTAAACCTTTGACATTTCAAACTATGACTTTTGTTAGATCAAATAATATAAGTTTGAAATATCAAAGGTTTACGACATTGGGTTTCAAAGATAATGTGATTAGAAATGTAACCGCCCCCTCCCTTTCCCCCTTCCCTCAGTAACGAAATAACGAAAGAACGAAATAGCTCGAAATAACGAAATAGCTCGAAATAACTAAATAGCTTGAAATAACGAAATAGCTTGAAATTTGCACGAAAAACATTGAAATTTCGTGCAATTTTTACTCGAAACGTAAGAAAGTCTTTGCGCAATTTTTGCTTGATTTCGTGCTAAAAATTTCGACTGAAAACCCTGGCTCTGGCTCTAGGGGGGCCTAGTTGGGTGCATGTCTAGGGGGCACAGGGGTAACGCCCCCACTACGCCCCTGTACACTATAAATATATATCTAGGAGGGTTTAAAGAATCGGGCTATTGGAACCCATAATATGAACGAGCACAGTAGTAGAAGTCATACCATTCTTACAGTCCATATACATAGTGAAGAGAAAGCCTCAAGTGATGATAACAAGGTACTTTTTTATATTTTTAATAACACTGTGGTCGCCAGAATAAAATGGAATTCGAAAACATCCTGTTTTTAATCAATGTGTAATCACTGCTAATTTTTTATGTTTAATAGTGATCAATTTACCTTAAAAGTTTAAGAAATATATGTTTCTGCATTCATAATTATTTTTGGAATAGTACAGTCCCACAATCATTAATCATACGAATTAATCAATCAATTGCAGCTTGCGGAATCAAATCACACGGTACGAAGAGATCATAACCTTTACACTCAAAAGTGATAAGAATGATAAAATATTATGTTTATTTTCAAATTGATGAACAATTCCTTTAAAGGGATCATAAGCGTGTATTTAAGTGAGCCTCCATGTAAAGATTACAATGTCCAATTCACAGGGGCATCCTTGAAACCTTTATCTGATCAATATTATGGAAGATATTTTCGTTTGTTGCAGGTTTAAACATGTTTAACTAATTCCTTTATGGTTTCTACCATGTAGAAACGCGTAATTCTTTTTTTTAAGAGAAACCACAATTGAACAAAATCAGCTTTCCGAATTGTAAAAATGGATATAGGGGAACCGTTATAGTGAATCGTACATTGTCATCTTTGACTATTTCAGGGAGTCTATATTACCCGGCATGGGAAGATAAATTTTGTTGATTTGGCGGGAAGTGAGATGACAAAGAAAACTAAAAGTGAAGGGAAGACACTGGAGGAAGCAAACAATATAAATAAGAGTTTAATGGTCCTCGGTAGGTCTTTTATTATTATTATTATCATTATTATTATTATTATTATTATAATTATTATTATTATTTTATCTATTATTATTAAATAGTTTAAATAAAGGATATTTTGCACAAAATAATTATATGTTAAATCAAAGATTCTTGAAAAACAGATTCAGTCTTTTTTATTTTAAACAAAATGGACTTGATAAAGGTCATTTTTAAGTTCCATCTTATAAGTTATTATTTTTTAACAAACCTTAAATTGCTTAATTGCTTAAATGTTTGAAAAATATTATTGATTCTTTGTAGGCTACTGTATTGCACAGCTGAGCTCTTCTAAAAGAAATGATAAAGGACAACATATCCCGTACAGGGATAGTAAACTTACTAAACTACTAGCTGATAGCTTAGCAGGGAACGGGGTCACTTTAATGGTAGGTTCCTTCACTTTAATGGTAGGTTCCTTCACTTTAATTTTAGGTTCTTTGACTTTAATGGTAGGTTCCTTCACTTTAATGGTAGGTTCCTTCACTTTAATGGTAGGTTCCTTCACTTTAATGGTAGGTTCCTTCACTTTAATGGTAGGTTCCTTCACTTTAATGTTAGGTACATTTGATTTTAATGACTAGCTTTTACTGAAAAGTTAGCTATATTGTCATTTATCAAAAAAAGATTATTTCTAAAAAACTTAATCTTACCTCATAATTTGTGACCAATGCAATCCCTTGAATCTGATTTATGCTCAGATAGCCTGTTTATCCCCAGCTAATATCAATATTCAATTATTTGTTCAGATAGCCTGTGTATGCCCAGCTAATATCAATATATTGTTTAGATAGCCAGAGCCTGTGTATCCACTGCTAATATCAATATATTGTTCAGATAGCCTGTGTATCCACTGCTAATATCAATATATTGTTCAGATAGCCTGTGTATCCCCAGATAATATCAATATATTGTTCAGATAGCCTGTGTATCCCCAGCTAAATCCAATATGTCTGAGAGTTCTAACACTCTACGGTATGCAGCACGTGCCAAACGGATAAAAACCAAACCTGTTGTTGTTATGGTAAGCTTAATTTTTTATAATAAAATAATTTCTACGTTTTTCTTACAAGTATGTTTTTATCTATCTAAACACATGGTTTCCCACAAATATTTAGAATTTAATATCGACATTATAATCTTTAATTTTAGTTTTCTGCCTTAAACTTTAATGAATCAAATCTATTGTCTGCATGTGGCCGAGGAAAGGGAAATGACTGATCAATTACGTACAATCGTCTCTGAAGTTTTATCCTTTCTGGGGAATCCTGTATCTTTCTCCTGGTCACTGTATAAATATAAGTTTTCAGAAAAGCTATCTCTAATCTATATTATCGTTTTCAATGAAAATTTCTTAGGTTTTGTGTTAAATTGCTAATGGCATTAAAAACACACAAAAAGTTAAATTTCCTTCACTTATATTTTTGTTGATCTATTGTGAATGTATTGTCTTTTTTATTTTATTTTATTGATATAAATACAATCTAAATGTTTGACAGAGGAAAAAGTTAAAAGGTTTTACACAAAAAGTTTTGAATTAATTATTCATAATGTTCAACTCTATAAAAACCCTAAATAAGGTCGAATAATCAACTGTTGGTTGAAAACTCCAATTATTTTTACATCAAATATATATTTAATTTATTGTTCAATAAAAATAAACAGATAAAAATCCTCATACACAATGTTTCATGGACCAATCTTCAGTGAGGTCTGCTGTTTGCATATTTTCAGGAAAGAGTTGGCGGATTAGTGTTATTTAAATTTTTAAATTCAAATAACACTAATCCGCCAACTCTTTTCTGAAGATACGCAAACAGAAAAAATACATCACATATATAAATTTCTTTATTCAGTCATACTTTTTATTCTAAAATTTGTTCAATATTATTGTGTACGGCATTTTCAAGAAGTAAATTGGTAGATCAAGCAAAAAGAGAAAAATATTTAGTTGTACTACACCTCATTTGTCCTACATATCACATGTCCTATCGTTTATTTGTCCTACAAGGAGTAAAAACAGCATTTGTCACTAGTCCCCCATTTAAGTATATCTTAACCCAGCCCCAACTTAAAAATTTAAGCTTAGTGAAAATATTTTAGGAAAAATGATGTTTTTTATCTCTGTTTAAAATTATCAAAGAGTCAAGCTCTGCAAATTAGAAAATATTTTGCCCTTTTTTATGGGTCAATACTGTTTTAAAAAACGATTAGAATCCGGAAGTAGCCAGTTTTGAGCCTCTGAAAAATGGAAAAATTACTATATATTTTGTTTTATCAAGAGACATGTTTTGATTGATTACACAGTTTGAATACAATGTGTTACAAATATCCCTCTCCTTCTACTTGACTTGGAATATATCGGACCTGTTTAACAACCATTTGCATTCTAGAAATTTCTTTAACTTTAATCGTTAAGTTTAAAAAATTCGAAATTGAAATGAATAGTCTAGGGAACATACTGTATTAATGTACTCTACTGCATATAATTTGTGAACATTTACATGATTTGTACACTTTGAACTCCCTTTCAGACTGAAAGGGACTGAAAAAAATCATACCGAGAGATTCTTTAAATTCCCCTCTAATATATATTCTATGAGTTTATGCCCCCAACTGTAAAGTGAACATATATATTTAATCCTAAAACTAATCAGTAACTAATTTTGTATAATCTTTAAGAACCCTTACGCAATTTTTAGTGTTTTAGGTATCCAGAAAATGTTGCTTAATCTTTTAAGACTCCAAGCATTTTGTTTATATTTAGGGCCCCCGAGAAGCATTTCGTTTGTGTTTAGGACCCCCGAGAAGCATTTTGTTGTGTTTAGGACCCCCTAGAAGTATTTTGTTTGTGTTTAGGACCCCCGAGAAGCACTTATAGTTTCGTTAAAGAGGGAGGTGGCAATAATGCAACAAGAGAATGACCATTTACGTCAGGTTTGTATAGTTTTTACAATTAGGGGGAAATAATAGACTTTCTAATAATAAATATAGGAAATAAGTTGCTTTGAGCTCGACTTACAGAAATGAGGAAGAAAAAAAGAAAGGAATTGAATTTTTGCAAAAAACTCAAATTTTCTAATCCCTATATCTTTGCAACCTGATGGTGTAAAGCTTTCATATTTCATACAAAGATTACTTTATCTAATATAATTCATAGCTTGAAATGTCTAAGGTCTACTAAATTGGGCTGCAGAGATATATATAGAGATTAGAAAAATTAAAGAAAAAACTCAATTCCTTTAAATAACATTTTGTTTAATAGTAAAAAAAATATGTTTTATTTTCAAAACAAAAGTTAAAAATTGTTATGATTGTTCGCAATATATCATTTTATAGTTGGAGGGATATGGGGTTGGGGGGAGAGGATGAAAAAGATATTTTGATTTTTAATAGATTTCAAATTTATTAATCCTTTCATTTTTCAGCTTGTAGAGTTAGCTGAATCAGATTCTAATTCCCAAAGCTTTACACCAGATATTAGACAGGTGAATCAAAAATATAATTTAAAGGGAGTGTTCGCGAAAAATGAAAGGGGGTATAGGCTTAATGCGATAAAAAAGCGCTTTTGATCGCTTCTAATCTTACTTCTAATTGTTGCGTCTATAAGGAGAAAATTGTTAAAAACGACTAATACCGAAGAACGTAGTATCCATACAAATTCAGAAAGATGCAACATACCACTCAAATTTTACATAATTCAATTAGTTCTAATTAGTTGTATATAGTTGATTTTTCATAATATGTTTTGATTTTATTTTTTAAAATAACATTTAGCTTCCAACTTGTTTTCGAACATTCCTGGAAAATATTAAAATGTCGTCTTCATTACCAAAAATCCTCGAAACAGGAATAAATGTTTTTATAAGTAACTCTCAGATCATAACAATTAAAACATATTATGAAAAATCAACTATATACAAATGTGGTTACTTTGAAAAAAATTTTACAGTAAGAGAAATCTCTGAAATAGCTAGACGACTTTTAGACTCAAGTTATGACCTTACCTTAAACAGTCCATTGAGCGTGAGACATAGCACTTGAAGTGAAGTGCAAACAGACCCATTTCACGAAACTAGTGATTAATAAGTGTATGGTAAAACTATTTGCTCTGTAAAAACATCAAATACACTTAAGTTTTGCTATATAATCGTTTTATTTCTCATTGTTTTCTGGTCTTCACCATAGATAAAGAAATTTAGTAATGGAAATATGTAATGTAGATAATAACAGATAATATAGCAACAAAAACGCTATGTCAAGTTTTTTTTAAACACGGTTATCTACAAATAAAGATGGGATACCTGATGTCGATCTGAATCTCCATGTTTACTAAGATCTGACAACTAAAGTTTATTTACAAAGAATGAAATATAAATGTGGTCTGTTCATTTTTGTTTCATTCTTCAACTCAAAATTAGGAGATTATTTTTTGTTCAGTTATTTATATTTTAGAAATAAGATTTCTAATTATTACTGTTCATTATCTACATTATTGTCTATCAATTATTATTTAGGTCTATTTAATTTGACTAAGGAAGTTATTCTAAAGTAAATTTTATGTAAAATGGAAATTTTACATGTTTTCAATGATAGCTTCTCTTTTCAAAGAGCTATTGAAGAGAATAAAATTTACTGAAGTCTCGATTGAAGTGACTGTGAAATACTCTATGTTTTTATAACGTGAGACCCAAAAACTTTGGAATAAGAAGGCAATTTCAAGACTTCAAGGCTAAATTATAATTTAAAATTAACATAAAACACAGAAATTTTACATTATGCACAGACTCAGTTCACTTTATTAGTAAATTTTGAAGCTAATGGTAAAACTATCTGCTCTAACAGCATTAAATACACATTATAATACGTACGTCTTCCTATTCAACAGTTTTAAGGGTTTCACTGTAGTTTATGAAAATGATAAATTTTAGCAAATTGTGATGAATGGCGGAGGACTTGGACTTGGTGGACCAGCTGATGGAAGAGGTAAGATGAAATCTATTTATGATATGGGTGCGTCATATTTTCAACAATGTGAACAATTGATCAATTAATGCGTTTTAAAAATATGATTCTGCTTAAGATTGTATAAACGTACAGAAATTTTATAAATATATATCATTTTATAACTTTATAACTTTATAACTTATATTATTATAAAAATAAAGAATCAGTATAAGAATAGACGAATGAACACATTCTCAGTATAAAAAGTGTAAATTTGTGTAGTAAAAATTAATTTCGGGGACCTCCTTTTCTTAATTAAAATTTGAATTATGAAATTTTCTAAGATTTTCTAATTTTATTAAAATTCCCATTTTAAATGTTTTAATACTAATTATTTTCTCTGAAATTAGAACTTAAAAATTTAAGTCATTAGTCATAGTAAAATATACAATAAACTCTAAAAGGATTTTATATCATTTCCCCCCCCCCTTTCTCCGCTGAAACATTTTTTTTACTGAATTTTCTGTATATAATGTTATATAAAGTAGAAAAATTATGATAATGAACTTCATGGTTTTTACGATAAAATGATTGTAAGAATAGTATGAATAATATAACCTTGTTTAGCTATGGTTTCCTGCAATGTATTTAATAATATAACAAGATATTACAATTAAGCAATATTCACCGAAGGTCAAAGAAAACTTTTCATGAATATATTCTATACAAAGTGTCGTTAACCTTGCAATGCAGTTTACAAAAGGAGAAACAAGCCCATAGCAAGAAAATAAGGAATTACGACTCGAGTCAAAGTTTTTAAATCGCGGGCTCAGAAAATCTGCAGAAAATCTTTTTGAGTGAGAAACTAAAATAATGAGAAAATAGAAACTAATAATTGAACAAGATTACTTATTTTCTATGACAAGATTAATTTTTATTTTCTCAATCATTTCCTAAACAACTAATCAGTTGAATGTAGAATTTTGTTTACATTTTTTGTTGTTGCTATTTAATAATTTAAAAAAACCAATTCTGAAAACTTATCCACCCAAAAGTACGATTTTGAACGTCGACTTTGCACTCAAACTCAGGATTTACAGACCTTTAAAAAGTTTTGTATGTCTCAAATGAATCCTTAAGAATTTGTTCACAACACTGCATACTCAGTTCAACTACCTTACATAGCCGGTCTGTCCCTTTAAGAAATAAATCTAAACCATTCGTGTGGGGGGGGGGAGGCTATAGGGGCTTAGCCCTTCTATAAAAAGATAAAACTAATGGTTCCATTGGAGAACGTTATGTTTAATATTTCAGCCCCCCCTAGCCTGGAAACATTCCTGTATACACCCTTGATCGTAGATGCACATTACTAATTTATTCCATATTTCTGCAAGAGCCTACATATTAAGTTTAAAAAATTGCTCTTTTATACAGACACTAAATTCTTTTTTATAAGCAGCTCTAATTCATAATAATGTTTAGCGACCCCTGCGACAAAGAAAAAGATCGACAAGAAGAGATTGAACGAGCTTGACTCCAGTACCCTGGTGGAGCTCATCAAGGACTACATGGTGGAGAACCAGGCACTCAGGAGGGAGAACAACGATCTTTTCAGGGACAACATTCTTATTTACAATCGTTGTATTGAATTTCGGAGATTTTAGGTTTTTTGTAGGGTGGGGGGGGGGGTTTATATGTAAAGAAAACAAGAGGTAATGGAAATATATTCTTTAAACCATTCCTTGGACCAGGTATAATTTGGACCCGATCGGCTCAGCCATTCTCAATCTCACGTTTATTTCGATGATTTTTGGACCTGTTTAATGCCCCACTCCCCTTTTCTCCCAATAATTGGTTTACAGTGTAGTCATCATGCATGAAATTTCAAAGATGAAAAAAAGATCTATAACAAATGATTACATGACATAGATACCTATCAAGTTTAACGCCACTGAGTATATTCAGTATCAATTGTCGTACTTATTGGGAAGTTGTGCAATAAATTATTATGTACTGTACATAAAAGAATGTCGATATAGTGTCCGGGATATGATGCTAAGAGACCAGGAACTGGTGTGTAGAGAGAACGAGAGATTACTCAGGAAACTGGAAGATGTTAATTCGTAAGCGTTAATGATAACAACAGTAATACTGATACTGATACTGATACTGATACTGATACTGATATTGATACTGATACTGATTCTGATTCTGATACTGATACTGATACTGATACTGATACTGATACTGATATTGATATTGATACTGATACTGATACTGATACTGATACTGATACTGATATTAATATTGATACTGATACTGATACTGATATTGATATTGATATTGATACTGATACTTATACTGATACAAATACTAACAGCAACTCCAATTTGAAATAGTGTTACTGATGTTGATAACGATTACAATAGTAAAAACGATTAATAAGGATAATTTAATAACGATAAATTATGATAATAATAAGAAAAGATCAAGATAATAAAACAAATTTCTATTTCCAGTGTCTGCTGCCGATCTCCAATTATTCCTGCTCGTCCGTCCTACTCCGCCGAATTGATGTCCTTGTCCTACTCTGGTTCTCTGCCCCGGTCCTCCGGCTCTGCCCCCGACTTGTCCTCTGTCCCAGACGGAGGTCCTGCCAGTCCTATTACAGATATATGGACCAACCCTCTCAATATGGAAGGTGGAACGGTAAGGGTTAATTGTTCATCATCAAAATTAGTTAAAGCTTAAAGTTTGCAAAAAAATTCTGAAGCTCACAAAAGCATTTAAAACAGGTCAATTTATGGACTTTGTATAATGTATGAAGATAAAAGTAGAGGTCGAATTTGTATTTCATCATATTTTCCGTGAAGAGAAAAGCGGAAAAAAAACATTTCAATTGTCGGACTTTAATGCAGGACTGCAGGACGCTATTTAACTTATTATCCATTTATAGTGAGGTATGCCGGGCATGCTTTATAGTGAGGTATGCAGGGCATGCTTTATAGTGAGGTATGCAGGGCATGCTTTATAGTGAGGTATGCAGGGCATGCTTTATAGTGAGGTATGCAGGGCATGCTTTATAGTGAGGTATGCAGGGCATGCTTTATAGTGAGGTATGCAGGGCATGCTTTATAGTGAGGTATGCAGGGCATGCTTTATAGTGAGGTATGCAGGGCATCCTTTATAGTGAGGTATGCAGGGCATGCTTTATAGTGAGGTATGCAGGGCATGCTTTATAGTGAGGTATGCAGGGCATGCTTTAATGGAGTCACTTGAAACTACAAAGGCAGTCATTTCGAGAACTTTTACAATTTCTTTTTTTTGGAGAATATTAGAATTATTTAACTTTTGTAATTTTTATCTCAGGATGATGAAGGAAGAAGGGTTCGTAGTTTAACTCCCTCCAGGAGTACTGGGAGTACAACTCCAACCAGGTACAGAGTAGGTTCTCCCCTCCAGAAGTACTGGGAGTACAACTCCAACCAGGTACAGAGTAGGTCCCCACCTCCAGGAGTACTGGGAGTACAACTCCAACCAGGTACAGAATAGGTCCTCCCCTCCTGGAGAACTGGGAGTACAACTCCAACCAGGTACAGAATAGGTCCCCCTCCTGGAGTACTGGAAGTACAACTCCAACCAGGTACAGAGTAGGTCCCCACCTCCAGGAGTACTGGGAGTAAAACTCCAACCAGGTACAGAATAGGTTCTTCCCTCCTGGAGTACTGGGAGTACAACTCCAACAAGGTACAGAGTAGCCTAACCCCCCCCCCCCAGTACAACTCCAACAAGGTACAGAGTAGCCTAACCCCCCCCCCCCTACAAGAGTGGGAGTACAATACCAACCAGGTATCGAGTAGTTTACCCTTTGATGACCCTGAATGCTTTGTTTTCAGCACCACGGCATTAAATAGATTGGATGCATCAATATCATGCAGTTATTTCTTTTCATGTCTTATCATGACTGGTGTCTGAGGGTGCAACAATCACCTTCCGCCCTTTACACCTATCTTTCTCATTAAATTTAAGGGCGAGGGCTTACCTTACTTATTTTTTACTCAAATGTTAAATTATAAAAATTGTCAGCTTCTCTTGCTTTAAATCAGAGATATTGTAACCTGTATTTGAATGATATACTGCACAATATCAATTGTACTATTTATTTTAAAAATTGTACTGTACTATTAAAATACTGTACTATTAAAATACTGTATTCTTTATTTTAATAGTGTATGCTCTGCCTTATTGACTTATAAATACTGTTCTTTGTTCGAATAATGTACTATAAGTATAAAAACTGTACTCATGTACTTTATTAATAAACTGCACCTTGTACACTGTACAGGAGACCGCACAGGCTACCAGACAATCTAAACAGGGAACTAGAGATGAGGAAGATTGGTTCAGGGTAGGAAATTATTTATACATAATTCTTTTAAATCACTCTTTTATCCGTATTGAAGAACACATCTAGAAACCATGCTTGTGTAAATAAGTAATTATCATATTTGTACAGAATTTGTTTTTTTAAAGAAAATTGGGAGTTTTTAGAAAATTACAAAGATACACCATGATTTTATTATGAATGGTTCAGTAATAACATCATTTCTATCTTAAGTTTCTGTAAAGAAAGTTTGTATTAACCTTTCTGCATTTTGAGGTCACATGGTCTCACACATTTTATAGAAGCAAAGCATACCAATCAATTTCTGATTCAGTTTCTTCTTATACTTTCCTTTTCAGTTGTGTGTTCACTCCCTTTTATTACTTTAAGTTTACCACTTGCAATCCACAGTTTTACTCACAACCCCTTGATCACAATTCACATGTATCGCAAATATTATAAAATTCAAGGGTTTTAAAACTTAAATAGGCAAGACAAGAATCCGAAAACGATTTCACCAACCGCTGTATAGGAATTCAAGCAGTCTTTAACCATTTATATTTGCAGCCTGATTGTGTACTGTGTAGCGTGTTAATCTTTGATTAACTAGAGTTTGTAGGGAAAATCAACTTATCTTTTAGTTTTTCTTTAAGTTCTTGTGAAATTTAGCAAATATATAAAAGTAAATTCATTGAGTATATAATTTGGAAATACGATAATCATCTCAGATTTTTGTAAAGCCTCTGTAGTCTTAATTTCAAGTTACTCTCCGCTCATGAGTGACACATTTGATTCACAATGGCGCCCTTACCACCCTAAACTAAGCTTTCGGTGAGTACTGCAGTGATCTGCAGTACTCTCACCGAAAGAATAAAGGTTTTAGTGGAGAGTGTTACAAGCTTTGTTATGAATGCTATCAATAGATTAATTTCAATTTTGGTTTTTAATAAAAGTAACTTACGGATTTCTGCTTGCATGAAAAAGGGAAAAAATCGTCAGAAACAAACACTCTACAAGCTAAATAACCCGACAATATCTTCCACATTTTTGATCAGATAAAAGTGTACAGGGTACAGTTGTGAATCTGGCATGACCACCTATAGATGGAGGGTCACTTGAAATTATGTCTTAAGTCCCTAAAAGTAAAAAAACCTTGAAAGTTTAAAAACGGACCAAAAAACAAAACCATCTCTAAAACGGCCCATAAAACAAAACCATCTTTAAAAACGGACCATAAAACAAAACCATCTGTAAATACGGACCATAAAACAAAACCGTCCCTAAAAACGGACCATATAACAAAACCTTCTCTAAAAACGGACCATAAAACAAAACTATCTCTAAAAACGGACCATAAAACAAAACCGTCTCTAAAAACGAACCATAAAACAAAACCGTCTCTAAAAACGAACCATAAAACAAAACAGTCTCTAAAAACGGGCCATAAAACAAAACCATCTTGGGCCATAAAACAAAACCATCTCTAAAAACGGACCATAAAACAAAACCATCTTTAATAACGGGCCATAAAACAAAACCATGTCTAAAAACGGACCTTAAAACATATCGTCTCTAACAACGGACCATAAAACAAAACCATCTCTAAAAACGGACCATATAACATAACCGTCTCTAACAACGGACCATAAAACAAAACCATCTCTAAAAATGGACCATATAACATAACCGTCTCTAACAACGGACCATAAAACAAAACATCTCTAAAAACGGACCATAAAAAAACTGTCTCTAAAAACGATCCTGTTTAACCTCAGAGCCCCCCAAATATCTGAGGGTTTGAGGAATAACAAGAGTGGGAAGAGTTCTGGTGAGTCTGAAGGTAGTCCAGATATTCCTCCGATCACACGTCGTAAACCTGGTCAACTCTCAGATGGATTTGTTTCTGTTCGGAGGAGGTAGGGGGAAATCAAATTTAAAGGGACTGAAGACGGAACTTTAAGTGACCCTCCATGGGGCATTTCCTATTTACAACGGTACCCTTTTAACGATTGTGATATTCCTCTTTCTTTATCGGAATTCGGCAATTGATAGAATTAAAGATAGAGAAATAAGACGATGTCTTTCTCGTGTTTACTCAGAGAGGTTGAAAGGGTTCCAATGTGAATCGGATATACCAATCTTAAAGGGAGCCCCCCCCCTTCAGTGAAAAAAATCTTGTACACACCCCTTTCAATATAAAGTTATAGATTTATTACCATTACCAAGCTTGTACATATATTCACAAAAGCAATTAGAAATGCACTCACAGTCACAAACACTGTCATGCCAAAAAAGATAATGATTTAATTTTTGTTTTATGAAACTGTTTTCCTCCAGGTCATTATCAACATCTGGTAGTATGGAGGAAAAGAACGGAAAGGATGCACGGAAAGGAAATATAAGGCGAGAGAGAGCTAAAAAATTGAAAGGTATTCCTTCTCAACATTTTGATCCTCAACCAGTTCATCATCGGACCCCTGATCTAGTTTATCATTATTGTAATCAGTGTATGCTAGAGTAATACCCCTTTCCCAGCCTCTTACCCTCGTACCCTCATCACTCCCTCTTATCTTCTCTTTCTTCTAGCTTCTAATATCTGCCCTCTTTCCTTCTTCGTTTTTCCCTCCTCTCTTCCCTTATTCTTCTTCCCTTTTTAACTTATCTTCTTCCTTTTTACTTCCTCTCGCCTCTTTTCTTCTTCTTTCTTCGTTTCTCTTTTCTTTTCCTTCTACTCTCTCCCTCCTTTCTTCCCTTCTTCTTTCTCCCTCATTTCTTCCTTTGATCTTTCCCCCTACTCCTTCTTCCCTTCTTCGCATCTTCTTTAAACGAAATATTAACCAATGATGAAGTAAAGTATTATAGGGTAACTTAATTTGTAGCTTATTATTGCATTTACTGGTTAGTTGAAGATTTAATCATTAACGTGTGTAGCATTATTTTTAGAAATATTGTTTATTTACTTGAAGTGTCAAATGTCTTTTCTTAGTCTTAACTTAAAAATCCTAAATTAATTTAAAAATTTCATTAATTATCTGGAATTTAGTATATTTCAGCGTTTATAAGCATGGCTTGGATTAAGCATTAAATGGATAAATTACGCTGTAATCTTAGAATAATGGTTTCAAGTGATCTATACATAATAGTAGAACTGAGTTCAAAACTTTTGTATATAGTCACGATAGAGTTTTGAATCTTGAGTAAGTACTTAATCTGAGAAAAGGGGGAATTACTCGTATTTGTGCGAACTCTCACCACCTTACCTTCAGATATTCAGAAGGAACGTTAATCTGTTGGCCACACAAGATATGGATGATTGAAATAAAAAAGTCTGAGGTGTTCTCAGTGGGGGGGGGGGCTGTAAGGGCTTGGCCCCCTGGATCAGTAAAATCATATTGTTTCTTTGGTTTTCTATGCTGAACCCCTCCCTGGAAAAATTCTTGAGTACGCCCATTAAAAAGAGTCTGACCTCAAGTTGGAGAACGGAGTCGGACGGAACAGATTTTTAATAAACAGTGAAATTCAGAATTTCTCTCTAACATTCCTACTTTATATATATTTATTTCAAAATAAATTCAATTACAATTTAATCATACTTTTTGTATGACATTTTCAAGTCATAATTTGTATTTATTAAAGATCAAATTTGATATGTCTATGGTTACAAACTACACATGCTTGCTTATTAAAGTATTTGAATGCTTAATGCACTTGGCTGCAGCCTCTTTTATTTGACATCTGTTAAGTTCTACAGAGTTACTCATGAAGGATTAAAATGACGACATTTTCCACGATTTAACCATAGGTTTAATCTTTTGGATTAAGTGTAAACTTTAAATGCTGAAAATTAATGTTTCATTGGCATGTGGTAAACAGTTATTTAGCAAACAAGACTAAATTAAATAATATTCAGTCGTCCCTGGGCTCCCATCCTTTGTGGGTAACTCTGTGCAGTGTAAATATATTGGAATTCAGCAGGACATTTCCATTTCTCTGGGTTCAACTTCGGCCATCAGATGTTTATTTTAAAGGATTACATACTTTTATCTTATGAAGTTTAACACAGGGTGTCATGTGAAATCCCACAAAAATTGGCCCTCGATCGGTTTAACGGGGTTCTCACCGCTTCACGGTAATCTAGAGGTTCTGGTTACAAGTCCAGCGAGTCAAAATTTTCGATCCCATTTTCACCCTTAAAATGTAGATTTTTCGTATTTTATATTTTTGTGTGGGCATTCAGACTATTTCAGTATATAAGGTCTATCTTACGCTATTTTGAACGGGTTTGAAGTGAGAGTTTAAAATATGACTGAAAATATACAGACCAGTCTAAACATCTGATATCGTAAACGCCAGGTATTGGTCTACCATTTTTGTATCTTCAAAATTGATGAAGATATTGCAAATTACAAATTTCAAATTATCTTAAAAAATTAAAAATTGTCTCAATATCTAATATCTTAGTCAATTTTTGAGATACAAGAAAAGGTCTAGACCAGTTTATGAAAAGCTCGTCAGATGTACAGCCTGTTTTTTTTTTACTTTCTTTGCAATGCATTAATCATCAGAAATCAAAGTCGTCTCTCAATTCGCATATTTATTGGGACACCCTGTATTTAGATTTTATGTAGATAGTTTTCTTAATTTTGCTTAATTTAATGTTTATTTTCTGCTTTCAGGCCAATCAAGCTCTCGGGAGCGCATCAACTAGATAGATAGATAAATATATATATTGGCACTATAAACAAACAAAAATATATATTTAACCCATCAGCTTGTAAATTGCTTTTATTAAATTAGGAATTCGCATAAAATGTTTAAAATCCACTGTTATAGTGCATCATTATATCTTTGTAACCTGTTTTTAACTATTACTTCTGCTAAATAAAATAGTCAAAGTTTGAAATATTAAAGATTCAGGCAATCAGGTTGCAATGACATAGTGTTTAGAGTTTGTGAAAAGTGATCAGATTATTTACAATAGAAAAATGTGTAATTATGAAAAACAAAAATTTAAGTATATATCCTAATTTGAAGAAATAGTTTTTCCCTTTTAACATTTAGAGATAAAAGTAATATGTAAACATAAGATTTTGTACAACCAGCTCGATATTGTTTTTGAATAAAAAATAATAATCATTTTATTATTCCAGAGAATATTGCTTTATAGTGATGAATAAAGAGAAAAGTAATAATGACAGTATCATTAAACTTGTTTAACCCAAACTTTATAGAAATTGGTCTGCCTTGCTCAATGCTCATGTTTAGAATATTTTCAAGATTATCAAAATATTAAAAATCAACTGTAATAGTAATCTGATGTTAGTTCACTTCACGATCAATTACTACTACTTTAGAAAGAGAAATTGAGAAAAAAAAGTTTTGTATTTCTCTGATTAGCAACCGAATACATCTGCTTCTCATAAATTAGTACTAGAAGAGATACAACTCAGCCTAGGTGGTCAGAAAATCATACCAGTATTTTCGTAAATATACCTTTTCCTTATTCCTAGATTGAAGTATGTTTTATGTAAATTAATTTGAACTGACGCCGACAAAAACTGAAACAGGCAAAATAAAAGAGAAATTTTAGTATTACGAATCTTTCTGAGGGAAAATTATGTAATTTAAACATTTTTGTAAATGCAAGTGTAATTTCCATTTTTGTAACTGCAAATGGAGTTAGAACCCCTCCCCTCACTCCTATTGCAGCTCTGCTCCTTTTAGCTAAAATCATTAACACTCATTAGCACTTCTTCATTCAGGTTTAAATCCTTTTAGTTTAATTTATTCCATAAACTTTGTATATTTCAACTTTAGATAGATATCAAACATACTTTTATCTTTTTTTTTTAACAACAATAAACATTTTACATCTTTAATTCACTGCAACCTCAGAATATATAAATACTAAAGTTCGTTAATTTTGACAACACACCACCCAAACCAAAAGCTTTAAGATTAATATTTATCATAAATTATCAAAATAAAGTACAACACTCAATAAAAAGAATGCTGCAAAATTATTAAGTTTCTAAAAATCAAACTAAAAAACATGAATTATTCAAAACGGACCTCCTAAAGTTACGCGATGTAACCATATCACGGTTCTTTGGACTTCAGGGTCCCGTTTAGTACAGTCGTCGTTGCATATATCAATACAATAAAGAAGACTTTCAATTTCAAATTTGATTTATATCAAGCTGTTAAACAGCATTGATACACAAACACATAGAAGTCAAGAGAAACTATCAGTTAAAATAGCTTCATTTTGATTTCTTGTAAACTAAAAAAAATAAAAAAAAATAACTTGTTAACATCAAAACTTTCGTTAAAAGTTGTCATCGTTGTTTTGATATATAATCGCCTATAACTGTACTCATGAGGGTACATAAACTGGGCCCTAAGGTACTGAAGAACTATCAGGGAATTTAGCCAAAAGGATTCAAGGTCACAGATTCAGAGTTAATCGGGGAACCTAAACAATTTTATCTTTTTATTTTTTAATCCTAATTTTTTATCATTTTAGTTAGTAATAATCTTTGAAAAGCAAATTAATCAAAAGGTCCAAATTTCTCAAGTTGTCGTTTGAGACTTGGTGTTTGCCCGAGTAGTGAACTGCTTTCTCTTAAAATGATTAAAATATTTCCGTCCATAGATTTTTAAAAATATTAAACGTTAAAAAACTGCAAACTACTCAAATGCCAAACTCTAGATGGATAACTAGTAATAACCCTACCTAGCTGAGAGAGGTTATTAAACTGTTGTGTGATTGACAGTGTTCCACTCGGCTCTACTGTTAAAATCACCCAGATGGTATCCCTAAAATGCATTAAAATGCTTAATTTCGTTAGGAAACTTTTGCAAAAATATAAAATGAGTATGGCCCATAAAATAGGTATTTCAAAAATTGCAAAAGATTGCAAAAAGCTAAGTATGGCAGACCTAGAACTTACATTTGAAAGTTCTTTCTTAAAGGAGAAGATTCAAACAGTCCAAATAATATTGAAATTGAATTTTTATGTTCATCTATACCCCCTATGCCTAACCCCCCCCCCCCCACAACAACTCACTTACTTACACATAATAAACAGGTTTTATATAGACTTAAAGCTAAATTTCAACTTTCAACGATTAAATAATTTCGTTAATAAAATAAATGATTTCACAACGCTATCCTTAAAATCTTTCTATGAATTAAATATCAATTTTGAATCGGGGTTTCTCTAGAAAAATGACTTGCACATTTCTATTGCAGGAATTATCAGAATTAAACACTTTAAACCCTAGAAAAATGACAATATCTTCCACAGAATTGATCAGATAAAGGTTCCAAGAGTACGGCATTTCCATCTGTGCATGAAGGGTCATTTTAAATTATGCTTACAGAATTTCTGTATCTTTTCCTAACAAGCTTCGATAATAATATGGGGGGGGGGCTGGAGGTAGTTAAACAGTAAACATTCGAATCTGAATAAATTATTGACTCACCCAAAAAAATTTCCCGTCAAAGTTGACATTCTCCATTTACTCTGGTATATACCAGGATCCCTGGGGGACTCCATTATCACTGATATATCTAGGGAAAATAAAACATCAAAAAAGAATTTATAAATTTCCCCAATCAAAAAAATAAATAAAGCGAGAATTTCTCTATCCGAGCTACAACATTTTCCAATATCAAAATGGAATTAATGAGAGAAAATCTCAATCCTAATACAAAATATTCAAAAATTGACAAAGAAACACGCTCATTGTGCTATTTTGAATATGATTGCTATGTTAAAACCAAAAAATTCAGACTGTAAAACTAAATAAGGTGAGAGGTATAGGGTTTGTGTACACTTTCTTTGACGTATAACGTAAAACTAGCTTAACAGAACAATAACTAAGATAAAAAAGGTCGGAATATTTCTGGGCAGTGGGCAGGGTAGGAAGGCTGTTATGCTGAAATTATTGTTTACAGTTCATATCAGTCCTGACATGCCACATTCAGATAAAAACAAACTATTTCCCCCTTAACTTAGTTATGCACACATTGATGAATTCTTTTTTTGAGTCGATCACCCTGTGCGTACATTGTACATAAGTGTACAGTGTACAGTGTACATACCTGTAGATTTGTAAGGTTCTACTTGTTCCACATTTACGCGGTCAAGGTTTGAAAGCACTGCTCCATCTGTGTATCTAAAATAATGTTTAAAATCAGATTCAAAGACAAAGGTTGACACTAACAACTATAAGTCAATAATCCTTGTCGTAACTTTATGCACACTTTTCATTCGAATAATGAAAAATAAGTATGCATGCATTAAACCTACCTGAGAACACAGCCAGGTGACCTAAGTATGAAACCTACCTGAAGAACACCCCCAGGTGACTTGGACCAAAGTGTTTAACCTATCTGAGAACACACCCAGGTGGTCAAAGTATTAAACCTACCTGAGAAAACAGGCAGATGACCAAAGTTTTTGACTTACCTTAGCACTTAGCCATGTGTCAAACCTACCTGAGAACACAGCAAGGTGTTAATCCTACCTGAGAACACAGCCAGGTGCTAAACCTACCTGAGAACACAGCCAGGTGTTAAATCTACCTGAGAACATAGCCAGGTGTTAAAACTACCTGAGAACACAGCCAGGTGTTAAACCTACCTGGAAACACACCCAGGTGTTAAACCTACCTGAGAACACAGCCAGGTGTTAAACCTACCTTAGAACAGAGCCCGGTGTTAAACCTACCTTAGAACACAGCCCAGCGGCCAAATGTCTGGTCCAGGATTCTGAACTCTCCAGGTTTTGGTAAACTGTGTAGAGGGAGGAATACTCTCACCCTCTCCGACAGTAATATCACGCATAAACAGCATTCCTATATACAAATATTAATTCATATATACAAATATTAATTCCTATATACAAATATCTATTCCTGTATACAAATATCTATTCCAACATACAAATATCTATTTCTATATACCAATATCTATTCCTAAAATCAAATATCTATTCCTATGTATGAATATCTATTCCTATATACAAATATCTATTCTTATATATGAATATCTATTCTTATACAAAAATATCTATTCCTATATACAAATATCTATTCCTATATACATATATCTGTTCCTATGTATGAAAATCTATTCTTAGATACAAATATCTATTCCTCGATACAAATATCTATTCCTATATATAAATATCTATTCTTAGTTACAAATATCTGCACCTAGATACAAATATCTATTCTTAGATACAAATATCTATTCCTAGATACAAATATCTATTTTTAGAAACAAATATCTAGTCCTAAATAAAATATACAAATAACTTTGCTATCATCGATCCGCTACAAGACTTACATTTGGACTTATTCGAGGGATATAAAATAATTTTTAAGAGGAAATATTTGTTTGTGTAAAATAAAAAGTATAAAAAAGGTGGGAATAACAAGTTGATTTAAAATTTTTCATTTTCTCTGAAACCTTCAAAAATTATTTCCCTAAAGGGGAATTCTTCTTAATTTATAAAATATGCCCGTGTCTTATTTTAAAAAATTCATTTGAATTTTTTTTATGTCGTCTACTTATTCCACAGTTTTATGGGGATCACTATACCTGGAAGTCTTGAGTTTGCAGTCTCCAGGTCAAAATATGAGCAAACTGCAGCCTGGACGTTCCACTGGTTCATCTCCAGGTAGAACCTAGAGTAGGAACAAGTATTACCTCCCGCTAGAACCTAGAGTAGGGACAAGTATAATCTCCAGATAGAACCTATAATCTCCGGGTAGAACCTAGAGTAGGGATACGTATTATCTCCAGATAGAATCTATAATCTCCAGGTAGAACCTAGAGGAGGGAAAAGTATAAACTACAGGTGGAACCTAGAGTAGAAAGATTATTCAGTAAAAAACCAAGAGTTAAAATAATTTTTGTTTTAAAAAGATGAGACGAATATATTGACTAAGGATAAAGTACAAAGGGTAACGTAAGGAAATGAATTATCGCTGTAGGTAATAATTATCGATAATTAGTAAAATTTAAATAACTAGCCTTAGAGGGCGCTTCGCGCCCATTTTCTAAATTAATTGTGAACATGTTCTCTTTGTGTACATCGTAAAACAAAACAAAAATAATTCGCGGATTTTCACAAAAAAT